AATAATAATTAAAATAATAAATTGCTAATCTATCATAAAATAGCGATGAGAATAATAATGTGAGTGAATGTCACTCAATGGTTATTTAGTTTTCTTGCTGCTGAACTTCTAATAGCTCTCACCATTACTGGTTAGACTGGCTCCACTAGCTACAAGGCTAATACGCTTCCAAGCGGCGCGGTCTGATGCCATCGTCGACAGTAATAGAAGCCATTCCTTTCTCCACCATCTAAGTCCATATATCGCTGGTCCATCTATACGTTCAAAATCTGACCGTATCAGTCCAGGTTTTAATTGGCTCACCTCGCTTTCGATCTCCACCATCACAGGATTTAGCAGACAGTGACATATTTATAACTCCTATGGTGCGCGACGAAGAACGAACACAGCGCTCTGCGGTGGTACTGTTAATGGAGGTATTTGAGAGGTATTGAAGTATTATGTAGTAAAATGGTATCTGAGCAATGGTGGATGCGGTCATGTGAGATTTTATCAGCAAGATGGACTTAGAAAATGTATCTTAGACATGAGTGGTTAAAGGCAAATGGCTTAATATCCTCCACTGTCATCGGCCATATCTCGAGCCATATAACAAGATCGAGCGAATTGCAGTTATATAAAGGACCATAGCACGACGATTTCGCGGCGACTTCTAAAGGTTTTGCTAGCCAGGAGAAATTCTATTGAACTGAACATGCATATAGGTGTATTCCAATGATGTATGGTAGGGACAAAAAAATTTTTTGAGTCCCAAATTCTGAAAGGTTTCAATCATTTCAAACTGTTAGATTTTCTAGTATTTTAATTCAAACTGATTTTATAAGATTTGTTATAATCCAAATTATATGAAGATTAGATGCTTTTTTTCTTCTAATACGCAATAAATACCTCCCTAACATATCTAAGTAAACTAATAGAATTTCTTATGATTTATTCTCAAGCAATTCTCCCATATATATCGCTGCCCAACGTTGTATAAACGACTAACGAAGGCCATTTTTGACCTTTCAGGTTAAAATTCGCGCACAATTTAGCCACGTTCACTCTTTAATGATATAAAAATTATTTATTCGCGCGAATTGTCTTTTCATCAATTTTTATTAGCGGATAATCCGACCAATAAATTCATAACAGAGAAAACACAATAACACGATGCATCTTCTCAGTTCTTCCGAGTTCTTTACTTAAATTTGCTGAATTTCATTTATAAATAAAATGATATAATTAAAACAAAAAATAAACAGGACAGGGATTTGGTTACAAAGTTCGGTAGATTAAAATTAATTATAGAGCCTAGCCGAGAGAGGACGAGTTTTCGGCCCTAAATGAAATTTCTCTTATGGTGGTGATGATAAGCGAGAGTGAAGGAGTAACGGTTGTGGAAGGTCGCTTGGGTCTTAAAGGGGTTGGTTGGTTGTAATTTGGGTGATTGCTTATTAGTTTAGTAAAGTAGTTTTATAAATTCCGATCCCAACTGCGTTCACCGATCTATTTGCGATTAAGTCGGCTTTTCGCCGTTAGACGCTTATTCTAACCGCATTTAGACCAAGATGAGTGCCATTCGAGTGAGAGACTTTTTCGCGGAATTCCGCGATGATTTTGTTTTGATCAGAGGTTTGTTCTTAGCACATTAATTTGCGAGTCGCAAATTTGACCTCTGACGAAGCAGAATACTGCTGCTCACTGTCTTTGTTGTGAGTGCTGCACCACGAGTAATTGTCACATCTGGAAGGTTGCGTTATAACCGCGTTAGATATTCGACGCCTTAATATCGCGCAGTAATAATTTCTTTTTTAGTTTTATTAAGTATTATTGATAAAAAAAGTATAAAAAAGTGTAAAACTATTAAAGATGTTTAAAAGATTTGGATGAAACAGCTGGCGATTTCGAAGTGATATTTATTTCTGCATTTTTCGATTGGTAATTGGTTCACTTGTCGTCACTTTCAACGGAGAATGGCTGCGACACCTGTTATGGTATTTTTAAAAATTATTTCATTACTTTTAGATATTTGTTGGTTTACTTTTTTATTTTTACAAATTTGCTATCATTTTTGGAAAAAACTGGTCAAATTTTGATAAAGTGGGCATATTTATGAGTTTTTCCTACAAGATAAGATATATATGTTTCAAAGGTTTAAATTTTTGGCGCTAAGTTTATTTCATTGTACAATTTTTAGCATTTTTTCAGTCTTTTCATTTTCAGAAACTTGATGATGTCGATATTTTTTTGGCTAAACAAAGTGGAAAAATTGAACGAGGCTTAGATCCACGCGTGTGTCGTCATAATAATCGTCAGCGTTGTAGTAATTGTTTACCTCTTGATGTTAGCTTTTTTTATCTAATCAGTTCATATTATTTTTAATCGTTTTATTTTAGTATAAAATTATTTTAGAAGTTTTTTTTCGAATTGTTTTATATATTTGAATATTTTCAGCCTTACGATGAAAATTATTTGAAAGAAAGAGATATAAAACATATGTCTTTCCATTCGTATGTCCGCAAATTGACCGCCGGCCGTGGTACTGGCACACAACTAAATAAACCTCTGGAAATTATTATTTGCAAACTTAAACCTAACTGTCCCAGTCATAAACCGTATCCGATGGGTATTTGCAGCAAATGCCGTCCTCCAGTGGTTACTCTTAATAGACAGGTTTGACATTTCTTTCGTCTCTTTTTTGATAATTTGGATTAATCGTGATGTTCGAATTTATATAAAAAAGTTATAATTATTCCTGATTTCCTAAAAGTTTGAATATTTTTCAGCGGTATCGCCATGTTGATAATATATCAATAGAGAACGAAGAGGTTGTTAATCGTTTTTTGGCATTCTGGCGAAAGACTGGCAATCAGCGTATCGGGTATCTTATAGGTCGTTATGAATCTTTCAGTGAAGTTCCACTTGGCATCAAGGCAACTGTTGCGGCAATTTATGAGCCTCCTCAAGTAAATTCGTCTCATTTAAAAAAAATAAATGGTTTTCGTAGACAGCTATACTGAATAATGTAGATTGGTTAATCGTTTTATTTTGGTTATTTTGGTTGGTTTGGTTTTTGGTAGTAATAGTCACTTGCAGCAAACCTTTTATTTATTTTTTTACTATATAACTTTTAATCTTCTTAGTAAGAAAAAAGATAACAAAGTTCATGCTCTTCGGCATAACGAGGAAGACGTTTTCCATTGGTACACCGGTCTCCGGTGCCATATTTGCCAGTTGTTGAGGTCATCGCAGCTGCATTATGACCTACGCGAGCATTCCAGTCTTCCACGATTATGGTCATGTTTCGGTAGAGACTTTGTTAGCAGTTGAAGTTCTGCATAGAACTTGTCTTTATCACGGTCATCTGCCGACAGCGTTGGAGCATAGACACTGATGACCGAGATATTGCAGAACTTACCCTTAAAGCGGGTATAGGCCATACGGTCGTTTACAGACTTCCACTCAATCAAAGCGGAATAGGCCTTGTCAGATATGACAGTCGCTACGCTATTTCGTCCCGAGTTATTCGAAGCACAGTTATTCGAAACAGTGATATAGCCAGTATCTCTGCTTTGAACCAGGAATACTCGAGATCCAAAGTGAGACGGACCTCCGACAAGCAAGCGATATCCACACGATACTTAGACAGGGTGTGGACAGTGATCGCTTCGTTTGCAACGTCCATAAGCGTTTTGACGTTCCACGCTGATACGGCTAATACCTTGCCGCTCGTGCAGAGGGCTGTTCCTCTTGATAGGTTTTGAGTAATTACGCTGGCTTGAAATCATTTTATTTATCATCCTTGAGACCGCTTTAAGCCCGGATCAAGCTTGTCGCATGTACCACCGAGCTCGAAGTATCATGCGCGTCGGGAGATGCGAGCGCCGTATCAAGTGTATCTGACCCTTTCACCATAGAGTCACTTGGGGATAGTTTCAGATGGGTCCCCAGCAGCCATTTAGATTTTTGACATAATAGCAGGTGTACTCTTGCCAAAGATAAAAAAAATTAAATTTGAAATTTATTTTTCAAATTTTAAAAAAAAACTTAGTTCGGTTTGAAAAATTTTCAGAAGTTTCGAAAAAAAATTCACAATTATAGCAGTTAGAAATTATCGATTGACATGGAGCAGAGCAGCAGATGATCGCTCATAATCCAATCATAATTACTATCATAATTGCTATAAATAGATAACTTTTAATAATTTAATCTTATTTTTTCAGTCATGTTCGCCTGATTCGGTTCTTTTGCTAGATGATCCTAATGATAATTTAGTTGATGAACTGTGTTCTTGTCTTAATTTGAAACGTGTTGGGTGGATATTTACCGATCTTTGGAGCTCAAATGCAGCTAAAGGATCTGTTCACTACACGCGGCATAAGGTTCATTTTTTTGTGTGTAAATATACAGTAAGCACAATATTTCTTTTTTTTCTCTTGCTCCGCTGATTTGTCGACTTAAACAATTATGTTAATCAGTCCCTTGGCTGTAGAAATATAGGCCAATATCATAGATTCATTTCTGCCGAACATAGAACCTCAGTATTGTTACTTCGAAATGGGCAATAACCCACTGAGTCATTCCAACTTCCTTCGCCGTTCAGTACCAACGAGATATCATCTTAAATTTGCATCATCTTGAATTTGAATTTGAGTCCAGCCCGTTCTGGATTTTTGGTGGCATTTAGCCATGTAAGCACCTTTTAAATGCAATATATTCATCATATATTCATTTATGAGATTTTTTTGCTCATTCCTCTTCTATATATTCTTCTTGATTTTTGTCGGATTTTTTCTTATAAGAAAAGAGGAAAAAAGAAAAACAGTACAAGGTTCTCAATTAAAATTTTATCGAATTCTTTGAACATTTATTTTTTTGGCTGAATTTTGGCTTCAATCGCTTTATTTTTTTCCAGGATTCTTTCTTTTTATCTGCGAAAGAATGTATAACTGCCGGCTGGTTGCAAAATAAGTATCCAAATATAACGAATTATTGTACTGAAGGCGCATTCGGATCGAAATTCGTCACTCTTGTTGCCTCAGGTTACATCAAAGTTTTTTGAATTATTTTCTGAGGCTTCGTAAAAAATTGAAATATAATTGAAATTATTTTAATTATTCTTATCATGGCATAAGTTTACAACAGATTATTTTATTTCAGGTAATGAGTCTGAGCATATTCATTTTTCTGGTTATCAGGTATCCAATCAGTGTGCAGCTTTAGTCGAAGCTGATGTGCTTTGTCCAACTAATCATCCTGAATTAGCATATCTTCGTGATAGACCGTTGAATCCGACTCATTATATACCCGATGTGCAGTATATGGTACTATTTGTCGAAATATATTAATTTCTGTTAAAATCTTCTAATCTGCATTTTTTGGGTTTTTCTTAAATAGTAATTTCTCTCATGATGAGGTTTTTTCTAGATTGCGTTAAGCCAATACGGTAATTATTCAGGAAAAAAATGAATATGGGGCAGAAACACGTCGAGACGGTCGTCCGATGCCTGTTGAATATTTGCTTGTTGATGTGCCTGCTGGTATGCCGAAAGAACTCCATGCTACTTTCCATATAACAAAAGGCACCCATTTTCCAACCGAAAATCGTTCTTCCATTGGTGAACTGCAGGTTTTTTGAACTTTTTCTTCTTATTCCTATCATTTTTATTCTTATTCCTATCTGAATTTATCATCTGCTGCATAAAGATTTCTTTAAATCTTAGGATACCAAAGCAGTTTCTCAGTATGCTTCACAATTTTCATCAGAACAGTTTTTGGAACTCGTCACCAATTTTCACTTCCTTTTTTTCCTTGTTACGAATAATATTGTAAAATTTTCTAAAGTTAGTTTATTTTTCACTTCATTTCTTGCTATTATTGACCACTCGTTTTTATAATATAATATTGTTTTTATAATATTTTCGTTGTTTATCGAAAATTTTAACCATTTCATTTTGAAAATTTTTTTTTTTTTTTTGCTTCCTTGGCATTTAATTTTTTTTGAAGGATGAACTGAAAGAATTGTGCCAGATTATTCAAGAACAAGATCGTGCAAAGGCCTCAGAGTGGGCTTTAAATAATGCTAATTGGGCAACTTTTACTGCATTATGTCGTCATTCTCATGAAGGTTTTTTTGTTTACATTTGTTTTTAAACCTTATTAATTCTTTATTCTATTTTCGTTTTTAAGCTTAATTCCACTTAAATTTTTACCATTTTTTAACCACTAAGAAATCAGCAAAAACATTTCTTTCAAAATTTTCTTAAATTCTTTTAACAAAATTATTTTAGTTTTTTTTCAAACTACTTCTGGTTCCTTCTTCATTGTTTGGGATTTTTAGATGAAATATCGAAAGCTGCCGTGATCGAATGGTCTTGTAATCATTGCACATTTAAAAATATTGAAGAGCGAGTGGATTGTGCAATTTGTGGTTTACCGCGAGACCTTTAGTCCAATTTTTCCTCATTTCATATTTTTTTTGAATTGTTTTATGCCTCTTTATCTTTTAAAGGTCTTGTTAATTGCCTTAATATAGGCTGTTTTCTTTTTAATCCCAACATATTTTCATATCGCTAAGTTTTCAAAATTATTTGTTTGTTTTCTGCGATTTATCGTTTGATCCTTTGGCAGAAACGGGTGGATTTTGTGACATTTTTTTTCTTTATGAACTATTGAGATGCAGTACTTTTTTTTTTAAAATCATGTTAATTAAAGCAAAAGCTCGTGTTAACCTTGATACATATTCATTCTGGGTACATATTGCCTTCTGGCCAAATTCATCCATTTTATAAATTTTTTCCAAGATTTTCTTAACTGGATAAAATTGGAGGTAAATTTTTTTTGAAACACGATAAAATTTAACACATTTCATCGGAATAATTATATCGCCTTTTTAGAAAAGCAATGGTATTATGAAGGCTATTAAAAAAATACAAAGGGAATTTATGATACCAAAGAAGAAATTATATTCTGGACGACATTCAGATAAGGATATGCTGAGATGGATATTTTATACCGCTTCACCTGAATTAAAAGGCATAAAAATACTGAAATAAGAACTGTTATCAGTGAATTAAATTATTTTATATTAACAAAAATGGTGTTCTTGATGGCACTGTATAAGGATCTTTATTGGCATTTTAAGGACTTTAATTTTTCGTGAATCCTCCAAGGAATTTTAATTTCTTCTCTGAGACAACAATTTGAGGTTTCATCTTTGTTCCTCAGTTTTGAAATTTTTGAATTTAGCACACTTCTGAATATTTTCAAGCAATCTTTTGTGGAAGATTTAAAAAATAAAATTAATGAAGTTGGGTTGCATTTACAATGGAATTTGGACTGACGATAAAATAAATCGAAAATTGAAATTTATCAAAGGCATCTTTTTTAAGACGATTTGTGTGAAACATTATCAGTCATTACTGTTGATGAACTAGATTGTGTGATTAATGATATAAGAATGACCAGTACTGACCAAATCGATACATAATTTGTGTTATTCCGAAAAAACGGTCTTCGAACAACGCCTTCTCCTTCATTCTGTTATCATTCAAAAACGATAATTTTTACTGATTTATTGTCAAAAATGGCTACTAATTGTCAAACGATCATTATAGTAATATCATTGTTTATTTGTGCAAGTTACGTGGTGCAAGATTCACCCTCAAATCGTGATTATGTGATCCGCTGTAAGCATGGTTATCGTTTATCTTCAATTAAACGATCAAAACTTTTTATTCGTCGCATTGGTTCGTTGACAATTGAATGCCAGAAAATGGAAGATGTTAATCCCGACCGGGTCAGCCATGATTTATTAATTAAATTTTTAAAATTAAATTTCTAACAATATTAACATGTTTAATATGCTTAATGTTTAAATGTTTAATGAGATTTCATTTATCAGTCGTATTACTTTCCATTTACATGAACTGATTTTTCTTGATGTATTTTTTTGGTATTACATCTACGTACAGGTTATATGTGATAGGCTCCAAGATGTTCCGCAGTGCTCTGGTATCGCCGAAGGATGTTTTGGTGAAAGTTGGCTGAGTGGTTTTCATGCATATATCATCGAGAATTCGACCGATGCTCTGTTGTAATTTCCTTCATTTCAATTTGTTTTTACTTTATAAGAATTATCCACTTTTCGCGTCCAATTTCTGATCTGTTTAATTTTTAACTATTTTAATATGATATCGATAATAGCACTAATCTTGCAGATTTTCGGCGAAATTTTAAAAAATTAATTAAGACTTGACCCAATTTGTTGTACAACAAACACGATTCATATCGATGAAAAATCATGCATTAACGATCGTTTAAATGAAGCAACAAAATCCTTCGACCATGCAATAGCAAATGACCTTGTATACCGAGGATTACAATGTTGGCACCAATACAACAACGATAATGTACTTTTTGATATCATCTGGAAGATGGAAATTTGTTCTTTCATATCAGCTATAGACCATCAAGGTCCTCTTTTATACTTTAAAACTAACGATGAATTTTGAATCTTCAAATAATCACCAAAATTACGAGTCAAAAACTTTCTTAAGGACCACTTCCAATTTGTGCAGCAAGGTACCATCAAATCCCCATCTAAATTTTTAGTTTTTAAATAGACCTTTTCAATAAAATCATCGAAAAGCTTTTTCTATTATTTGAAAAATGAAACAAAAACATTCAGGAATGCCAAGGTCTTGTCAGGAATGTGACTGCAGATGTGGCTTTAGAAAATGCATCAATGGTTATCATCCAGTACGAATAATACATAAGGAAATTCATCAATATAACTGTGAATGTCGATGTGATTGTACTTTAATATGCATGTAAATCTATAGTCTCAAGATGTACTCATAAACTTTTCAAAGAAAAAGTTAATATTTAAAGTTATTAAAGTTAAAATTAATATTTTATGTAATATTTAAAAAAAGTAAAATATTAGAGCATAATTAATATACAAAAGAAGAGAAACCAGCGATTTAAAATGAAAAATTAATAAAAATATAATTCAAAAGAAGAAAATGCTTCATTACTTCATGAAAATTTAATTCTTTATAACCGTAAATGGATAAAAAATAAATATATGATAAAAAGAATTTTTACCACAAGGTTAATTAAAGTATTAAAGTAATTACTTATTTTCGAAATGGTTTTTTCAAAAAAGCCAAATTAAGAATGACGACTTCATACTCACCACTTACTGGATGGATTTGAACTAGATGATCCACCACCATTATTATTCAAAGTACTCCAAAAAGCCTGCCATGCAGCATCCATCACTTCTGGGTTGACGTTCATTTTATTTAAATTGAGTGCATCAAGGCCAGAAGCAAGTGCCTGACTTGTGCCACTGCGTGCATTTGAGCCATAACGAGATGTGCTAGAATATCCTGGAGAAAATCTGTTAGATCCTCGATTATCCGAGCCTCTGTATGCACCAACTCTCCAGTTGTCTGATGCATCGAAGTTGTCATAATACATACTCTACAATGCTTTAAATTTCGATCATGGCAAAATTTTCAATTAAAGCAAAAAACACTGGCAGTTGTTTCGATTTTTCCAGATAATTTTATCTAAGCAATTTTCAAAAATGCTTTCAGTTTTCAATGGATTGGAAATATATCCTCTACAACTTTTTCCAAACAATGGACTTATAATAATTTTCTTTGTTTTGCCTTTTACCTCTATATTTTTCTTATAAAATTATCTTATTTATAAAAAGTATAAAATAAGTAATAATTTGAATAAAATAAATTATAAATTAAAATAAATTATAAAATAGAATTGTCTTATGAATGAATAAGTTGAAAAAAATTTAAGGAATTATTCGAAAATAATAAACGACACTAATGAGCGAATCATACTAACCTGCGAATCAGGCGGAAATGTCTCAAACGGTGCATGATGTTTACGAGAAAATGAAGCATTAGACCGATTCCGCCCATACATTATTTTCTGCGGTACTCTGGGAGAATAATCAGGTTCTCTAGGAGCAGCAGCGCTAACAGCGACAGATGAACCATTAATTATATAATCACCTCCTCTTAAATATCAAAAAACCGACAGAATACCAATAACCTTCAAACATGAAAATAATAATAAATTTTTTGCAAAAAAACCTGATTATTTCTTTAGCCACAACTCCGCTAGAGAAATTCACGAACGCAAAAGAACGAAAAGGGCGAGGAATGAACACATCTGTAACCTGCAAAAATCAAAATATTAAATTTAAAAAATGAAGTTCTTATTTGTACAATCATTAACAATTAAATTATATTTCAAAATAATCAAGAAAATGACAGCGAACCAATTTTAACTTCTAACTTTTTGAGCAATATTTTGAAGAAACCAACTTTACCGTTGCTGATGGATCGATTTTAGCAGCCTCATTGTTGAAAAAGCTTTTGAGATCTTCTGTAGTCATTTTTTCTGGGACTCTTCCGACAAATATTCGTGCTACCAAAGGAAAATTCGCTTCACCCTTAAAATGATTCAAATGATTTCGAAAATTTCAAATTAAATTAATACATAAATGCCTAAAACATTAAATTTAAAACAAAAACAACAAATGAGAAAATAGCTTACCTTAGATAAAGGAATTCTAACTTGACAGCGGCGACCGTCGATTTCGTGTATTGGTTTCGCTAGCACTCTTAACTGTGCATCATAATCCTTCATTCTTACAAAACCAAATCCTTTAGAATTTCCAGCCACATCCGTTTTTAACTATAAATACAACTACGGCATAGGAAAAAAGTATAAAGCCTTCTGAAAATTAATTTACCATTTCCTCATCTAGTCATATATCTTTGACAATAATCTATTCTATAGAACCTAGAAAATTGTTGTAAAAAAACATTAAAAAAGCCAAAAAAATGAATCACAGATTAATTTTTCTTCCAGTGCAGCATTCTACGTAATTTGAAAATTGATAATTTGAAAATTTATTCCCACAATTCAATTAAAAATTTTTTTAAAACAATTCTCATATTAATTAAGAGTATCGCTCAATATTGATTTTGATGATCCCTTTATAGAACGGAGAAATTATGATAATCCATGAGAATCTAATATCCAGTATTTAGAAATATTTTCATTAAACGCACTTCGCTTAAACACAGTTATCACGAATGTTAAATGAATGAGATTTCGTCCTTCACAGTTTAAAACAGGGAAAAGTGAAAACAGTACATCACAACAATTTATATAGCTTACATCAAACATGACGACTTCACCAAAAGTTTCGAAGTATGCTCTGGCTGTCTCGCTGGTTGTTTTGAATGGAATTCCAAGAACGATCAGATCTGTACTTGTCTTCTCAGGAGGTTCTTCCAGCCGCTTTTGCTTCGCACCCCCTTGTATATCGTCCGCACTGCTACCATCATCACTCTCATCCATCATCTTCTTGCGCTTCGTATTTTGATCACCTGCACACGAAAAAACACTCACCTCCACACAGTCACACTTGAATATTCAACTCATTTACATAATAAAACGCCTTCTTCTGCTTTCATAATAATCTTACACATGAGTAGTAATAGTCCATCACATCAGTCAAGAAATAATAAGCGCAGCACAATGTACAAAAAAATATTTTCCAGTATTTTATAACTTATACAACACTAAATTTCTTTAGAATTAAATATACTATTAAACTCCGCAACATCCTAGACTAAAAAAGTGATTTATTTAATATAAATTTATCAAATTACCTGGTCCACGACTCTGACTATATATAACAAAAAATGTTTTTCCTTTCCAACCATCAGCAGGAGGAAAAAAACGAGTTCCAGATGGATCTATTCTGGAAATTTGTCTTATAAATTTAATATAAATATGAGTGGTAAGGAATAAAACCGAAAAATGGCCTTTTCATATTTCGATAAATTTCTTCATGTTTTAGGAAATTAAGTTATGGCCCATTTTTTAAATTTAGCGCCGTTTAAACATGAATTTGAAAAAGAAAATTACAATAAAGCCCGGCTAACTCCATTAGCAGTTTTGTATTTCAAACCATGAGCACCAGGGAAAGCATGGGTAAGTGTACTGAACCCAAGTGATCCATCCTCTGGCAATGTTGGTAGCTCAATTTGCTCACCATCATCTGTTTCTGCAACAATAACATAATCCACGAGTTCCTGCTTCACCTGAAAAAAGGGAATCTGACTGGTAATTTTTTTGATCAGCGGGTGAATTTGTCCTTCTGAGATTTAAATCAAGGAATCTTCAAAAATCAAATTATAACTTTTAAATTTAAATAAAAGTTGTATAGCTTTAGGTATAACTCTTTATAATTCTTTAATTTCATAATTTTGAGAGTTTTGACATAAAATTAAAAAGCATGTATGACAAAAATTGTTTTTAAAGAGAATCTTGGAGTTTTACTGGTGTTGAGCATATGAATTATTTCTTGTTCTGTTGGCTGCAACTGCAACTATACTCGAAGAGCATTTTAGTTATATACAAGGTGAAAAATGAAATATAGTGGTTATGTTAAGTTGCAAAAAATTTCTCTCTCCTTTATGAAGCAATTTTGATAGAGATTGATAATTTCATTGTTATCTCATCGTTTCTAGAATCATTTTACCTTCTGTTTACATTACGGCTATTTTAGAAAAAAGACGAAATAATTCCTGATTTCTGATTATCGCCCTATTATTAAAATAATCATTTCTATAAATCAGGACCGTATTTCTCCGATTTTTGACCCACCATGTTGTTCTTCTTGCACCTTTGAAGTTAAGGCTTCCTGACATATGAACCTTGATAGAATTTTTAGAGTTGGGCCATCAATATAAAACTGCCTCGAATGGTACATTTCAGTGTGAATATATAATCCGAGCGTAAAGCGATCCCAAGGCTGATAAATAAAATGTGCTCGCAAGCTATTGCTCGAAAGGGAACAACTCTCTGCAAGCGCTGAGAGGCATTAGCCGTATCAGTGTGGAACGTCAGAACGCTTATGGACATTGCAAGTCGAGCGATCACTGTCTATACCCTTTTAAAATATCGTGTGGATATCGCCTGCTTATCGGAGGTCCGTCTTTCTCACTTCAACTCTCGAGTAATTACTAATCCTGGATCAGAGCAAAGATACTGGCTATATCGCTGTGGTACCTCGGATAACTCCGAGAGAAATAGTGTAGCCATCGTCATGTCTGACAAGTCCCATTCCGCTTCGATTGAGTATAAGTAACCATATGGCGTATACCCGCTTTAAAAGCAAGTAATACAATATCTCGGTCATCAGTGTCTATGTTCCAACTCCGAGACAGATGACCGCGAGAAAAATAAGTTCTATGCGGAACTTCAGCTGCTAACAAAACCTCTGACATGATCATAATCGATGGAGATCGGAATGCGCGCGTAGGTCGTAACCTCTGCCGCTGTGATAACCTCGATAATTGACAAATATAGCAAGGGATACCGGTAGGCTAATGGGGAAAACTTTCTTCGTTGGTTTATGCCGAAGAGCATAAACTTTTTGTTACTAATACTTCCAGCATCGTAGAAAACATCACGTGGAACTCCCCGGTAACCAAAACTTCAACCAGATTGATTATATTTTAATCAGTCGTCGCTGGAAGAGTTCCACTCTAAATAATCGCAGCGCTGAAAAGAGAAATCTTCATGGATCTGAACATGTTCGGGCCTAGATCCGACTCTTAAACTGACAATTGATAAATTGATAATTGAATTGATAACTGACAACTCGCAGAAAACAGCATCCCCCAAGATCCTTAAACTATCTCAAACTAAAAATTAGGGGACAATGCGCACATTTCAAACCGAATTATTGAAGCATCTCAGTGATATAAATATCAATGATTTTTCTAGAACGGCAAATGAATACTGGTCCAAACTAAAGGAATGTCTCAGAAAATCAGCCACTTCCATGCTAGGACATACTAGTAGGAAGTGCGGTAGTTGGGTATCGGAAGCAACTGTCCAACTGTTTGAAAAAGATGCCAAAGCACGAATGTCAAATGATCCTGACTATCCGATGCTTCAAAGATTTAAACAAAAGTAGCACGGCGGGACAAAAATCACTATTGGAGTGAAATGGACTCAAAAATGCAAGGCCGGCTCGATTAGGCAATAATAGGAAACTATTCTTATGAAGCCTTCTTCATAAAGCAACTATAACTTGGGAATGATCAGTGAAACTGTAAGAGACAGCAATTTTTTTATAAGAGTCCTCACCACTGCTGGCTAAATTCGCTCCACTGGCTCATCGCATTGGGCAATATGCCAGGGAGTCCCTTGGCGATAGAGAGTCGCCAGCATCACCAGGATTTCTGTACAGTTCATCCCTGCAGGGAATGGAACCACAGCATCGGCGCTCCCAACTGAGCAACAACCCATTAAGCCATTCTATTTCCAAGAGTATTAAGGACCGTCTTATAAGATGGATTTTTAAAGAATTCTTTAAGACCAAAGTTAACCATGAAGCGCCATCTGATATAGCTGATACGTTCGCTGAACCACATGCTTGCAGTAGCAAGCCTCCGACAGAAGAAGCAATAATTTTGTTATCCATAATTTTACTCTCTGGCATGGAAAAAAGAAATATTACCAGATGATTGGAGCAAAGCAATTCTACTCCCAATTTTCAAAAAAGGTAATAGGACATATTGAGACAATTATTGAGGAAACAGCTTACTCAACAGATGGAAGTACGAGACAGCAAGATGCGCCATTGTTGGGATATCGCTTCAGATATTTGCAACCCACTGTCACGTTTGATTTAACTGATAGAGCGGTGTTTTGGAGGGTGATAATGGTGTTCCAGACACCATTCGATTCATAAAGGCATTTTATGAAAATACATCGGTGCAGGTCTGTGTATATGGGAACTGACAGACTCCATCGAAATAAAGACTGGTGTCCGCCAAGATCTTTTCTTCTACAATATTCAATTATGCGATATACTGGATAATGGAGACCGCTTATTGGCACTCAAGAGGTGTCCAAATCAATCCAAAGCATTGCATCACAGATTATTGAGTACGCTAATAGTCCTTTTTGCTGACAGTTATGACGAAATGCAAATAATGTTAAATAAGGTGTCAGCAACTGCAGCGAGAATCGGACTAAGGGTTAATTTAAATAAAAGGAAAGCCTTTTCGTCTTATGTGCAAGAAGCTGATAAAATGCCTCTTTTCATAAATTCATTGAGGGTTGAGGAAGTGCCCGATTTTAAATACCTTGGGTCCACAATATTACCAAATAGTCAGGCAAAAGACGATATTACAACCTGGATTACTGCAGTTTTACTGCAGAAATGTGTTCTTCTGGATCTTCTTGTTGACGAAACCTTTACGGAGCCGTCGTGAAATTACCATAAAAACGAAAGTCCGCATTTCTATAGCCGTGATTCGTTCGATCTTGTTATATGGCTCTGAGACAAGGCCAGTGACAGTGGAGGACTTTAAGAAGTTATCTACCTTTGATCACTTTTGTCTAAGGAACATTTTACGGGTCGTCGACCGGATAAAATATCACATGATCGCATCCACCTCTGCTCAAATACCACTTGCATAAATAATCGCCTTCTTGGTTAGGGCACGTTCTCCGTCGTCCTTCACTCATATTTGAGGAGCTGACTCACATTTCGTTACTAGCTAAACCCTGTGATGAGTGGCGTCAAAAGCGAGGTGCCCAGTCAAAACCTGGATTGATAAGATCGGAAAAAATTTTGAACATATAGGTGACCAGCAATATACTGACTTAGACGATGGACAAAGGAATGGCTTCCATTACTGTCGACGATGGCATCAGACCGCACCGCTTGGAAGCATATTGTCCTTACAGCCAGCGAAGCTAGTTTAACCAGCAATGGTGAGAGTTGTTAGAAGAAAAAGAAGAATCTCTGACTCGCAAGAAAGAAATAGCGATAAATATGGCAATAGAGATGATAAATAAGATATATAAAAAAAGAAAAATGCGATAACGCATACCTCTGTTTCGTCAACTTCACTCTTGCTCATACCGTAGTCTAAAAAGAACTAATATTTGTTAATAAATTAATAAATATTTCAATTAATTACAAATTAATCATAATATTTTATAAGAATGCATAACTCCAAATTTTTATATTCACATTTTATGAATATAAAATGCCCACAGCTTTCAACAAATTTTAAAAAGAATCCGTAGTCGTTAGCACGAAAGAGTACGTAAGAAACTAAGCCTTTCTAAACGAACTCCCAAAGGACAATCTCAGTATTTATCACCAAACTCGCAAAGACTGCCAAACAATATGCCACAAAATTATTGTTTATCACTTTTTTGTAGTGATAAATACTAAAATCGCGAAAATATTTTCGATCACAAAAAACAACAGTTTTATAATAAATGGAGAACAGTACGTCAATTAAATGAACCGCGCCAGCCGAATGCAAATACAGCGATTCTAACTTTAGAATGGTTAGAAAGCAGTTTAGGAATAAAGAGTTATCGCCACAGTTTGGAAAGACGGGACGAAAACCATGCAAGCAGGAACCACAGCCGAATGACACCCATGACAAGGAGGACTTGCGAAGACAGCTGCCCACTCGGGTAAAACTCGTCCCTACAAAGTTCGAACCGAAGTTTTGTCGACCAGCGCTTTGGTTCGCATCCTTCCAAACAAATTGGGAAAAAAACTTAGTCATTTTGTCCGAAGCTTGGTCGTGTTTACTTTTTGAGCAAGTAAGGTGGTGTCGAGTGGATGCGCTCCTTTATAGCAACAGTTCCCTGCGGCAAGTACGCTTATATAACGCCAATTAAGAGGAATGGATGAACGCCGAAGCGTGGTGAGTGCGAAGGAAGCGTGCTGGTTCATGTCGTATGCCAACGCAGTGTTTATAAATTTCGGAGATTCGGAGATGCATTTGGCAAGTTTTATTTTTGTTTCATTTATTCATCGTTTGCATTTCATTTTAAAAGATCCGTTTGCTGCCATTTATACGAACTGAAATTTGCATAGGTGAAAAAATAGCGATATTAGCAACAGCAATGACCGACTCTGCTACCAACGCAAATCGCAGATTTTTTATTCACCACTATTCACCTGCTGCAATGCCATCTTATAATTATCTTAGAAAATTATGTTGTCGGGAGGAGAGAGCGTCGTCGAGTGGTTTGGAGAGGCTTCGGAAAGGCCGAGCCTCGTACCTGTCGCTCGACACGCTAAATCATAGGCTTTAAAAGTAAAATCCAGGTAGTGCCGAGGCGTTCCTCTTCCATCTCCAAGTGCTTCTCTAGTGAAGAGGTTTATTTCTAAGTAGTGGAACCAGCCAAATCAATAATGCTGGTTGATGACGATAGGAACTGCTAATACCAAAAACATACAGCAAAATTTGTGGTAGAGATGGTCAGAAAGCATTTTGTATATATACAATATATTGAAAATGGCAGAAACATTTTATTTATTATTAAAATGATTCGATCAACAACTGCATAATTGTTTGTTTAATTATGTATTTGCGGCAGTGTCAATCGACTTTTTTAGTTCGTCTACAACTTTTTTTATGACTTCCTTCGAGCTATTTTTACCGAACGTTCCTATTCTCCATATTTTTCCAGCTGTTGGTCCAAGCCCCCCGGCTATTTCAATTCCTTTCGACATCATGTCATTAACAACTGCGTTCCAGTTTACTCCTTCGGGTACAGTGACTGTTGTCAAACACGGTAATCGTAATGACTGCAAAGGATTACGATGAGCTATAATATATTAATTATAAATAACTAACTATAAAAAGACGATCATCGATGAGCTTTTTAAGGTTTTCACTGAAGATTTTTATCATAATCTAATTACCTAATCGTCTTTGCTTCAAATTCATTCCATAATTATTACTGCCATATATAAAAAATAAAATCTTACATAAAAAAACGTAAAAGAGCTAATATAAAGGCATATAAATGATTATACTCATTTCATGTACAACCGAGTATATTTTTTCCACAGTCAACATTAGAAGACCGTAAAACCTAAAAAAGACCTTAAAATATGCCAGAAATATTTTTTAATTTAGTAAAATTTTCGTAACAATTTTAAAACACCGAAATATTAAAATGCTTAGAATTATGCTTGGAAAGAAAATTCCCGGAAAAGATGAGAATAGAATAACTTTCGTTGAAATACGAATACAACAAAAATTTGAGCTAAAAAAATGACTCAATAGAATATAAACATGAAAATGATAGAATTACTGGGTCTTCAACAAATGGTTTGAGTCCATGTTGTTCCAGAAGACAGTAAAAAAAATTCGCGTTCTCAGTATGGCGTTTTACACATTCCTCGATTCCTTCACGTACGAGCTCGCTTAAAGCCGTTCGTAAAGCATAAATAATTGATATGGAAGCCGTATGATGGTATCTTAATAGTTAAGGAATCCATAATTTGCATTATATTTCAAAAGATCTGCTCTCAGATCTTCCAGTCATAAATCCAGACTGCATAGGCGATTCATTTGTTCTTCTATCATTAAGTCGAACTGTCCCTAACCCTATTCAGCCAGTAAACCTGATGAGAAAAGATGACCTCTGACCAGTTAATCAAATTTCTTGTCAATCGTTTTAAATCGTTTTCAATATTTCAAAAGATCCCCATATTGTTATTTTTATTAAATTTGCTGTTTAAAAAATCTTCCTCTAACAAAATTTTTGACGCTTATTTAATGGTTGGAGGTACCTTCGCGGTTCATCGAAACAACCCCAATAATTGCCGAGTTCAAGTGCATCAAAATAAAATGATGGAACTTTTTCTTTCCTCGATATAATTTTTGCGCTAAAATTTTTCACTAAATAAAAAATAATAGCTATTTAAAAAGTTTTAAATATAGCAAATCCCGAGATTTTCGTTGAATAAAATCTTGACCAAAAATGCCAAAAATGTGAAAACTTTAACTTCTTTGATTTTTTTCAAATTTCTTTGATATCGAATTGAAATTTTAAAAAATTACACAGCTCGTTCACTGAAGGATATCGGCGAAAGGCCAGGTGGAGCATTGAGGACTTTTTGTGTTGCACCATAGACACAGTCGACCTGAATTCAACTTTTCTCAATAATTTATTTCATTTTATATTTATTAATTTGTTATATTTATTTATTGAAAACCAGCCAAGCAGGGCGATGTCCTTGATTTAGTTTTCACATAGGTTTTAGTAATTTTAGCCCATTTTAGTTGTTGTTGGATTTAAATTTAACCCAAAATTATAATATTTTCTAGTTTAACATAACCATACAAAATCTTATACGTATAAATTAAATCTAGTTTAATATGACGAACTGACAGAGAATCCAGGTTATATTGTAGAAGTTTTCGTTTATAATTAAAATTTCAATTAGGAGAGAGGCGTCGTATAAAATATTTTTTTGAGTCCTTTAATTATTTCACTTGATTTACGATATCTCGGGGAATAACATGCAGTATTGTAGTCAAGAAGAGGTCGAACGAATGTTTTATATATTTTGATAAGAAAACCTTCAGTTTTATTCTTAAACGAACAAATAATAAAATTTAATATCTTTGAAGATTTTTTTACCATGGTTCTGCAGTAAAAGTCGAAATCAAAATTTTCATCCATGATTATTCCAAGATCGGAAATGTGTGAGACTCTACTGATTATATTACCATTAATAAAAAGATTAGGAAAATCGAAATCGTTAGAATTAATATGAAGAACGCTACATTTTTGAAAAGAAATCCTCAACTAAAACAATCTCAGTTGGAAAAATTTGCATTTGCATATAAGGGAAACCAACTTCTTCATTTTCAATATATTCCCCTTTTTTAGCGATGAACTAAAATAAAAATAATGATTGAAAACATAATGAAGTGGCTAGGCACCTACTATTTCTGGTTAGGCTTACACCATTTCCACGGAAGTACAGGTAAGTCACTGGCATCACCAGGATTTTCATTGGCAAGTACATTCTCTTCAGAGGCAAAATCTGAACCCAGGCCAAAGTCTGAGACCATAATCTGAGCAAACTACCAGTCAACCATTCTGCCTTCTGCTGGAAATATAGACAAAAGGTAAGGAGTAACACAAAATGGAAAGCTTAAGGATTTGCTATTGGACAATTGCAAAAGATACAAAAATTACTTGCCAATGTAAAATATTTAATTTCATTTGGTTTTTCATTGAATCTTGAATACTTCCATTTTTAAAAGGTGAAAAACTTAATTGTTCGTAACTAAATACAAAAGTAAAGAATATTACACTAAAATTTTTGCTATAACCTCCAAAGAATCTGCGAAGAAAGTAGCGCCACCAAGTGAAGCAACGACATCAACAAGTAAAAGTACACCTTGTTCATGGCAAATTTTTCCCATACCATCAAGTGGTTGACATATTCCTATTGAACTTTCGCCATGACACACAAATACCACACTTGGTGAAAATGTTTCCACAGCCTTTAATTATTTACTGCAAAATTTGGATGTGCATCATTTATTTTCGACCAAGTCGGTAAATTTTAATCACTTTAGAATATTGTTCCAGTTTTTTAAAGAGCATTTTAAATGTTTATATGGATTTCAAATTCATTCGAAAATGTTCAGGCAAAAAATTTTCGTTTCACAACAATATACGCGAGAAATTGATAATTTTTGGTAAATTGGTTATATTCAGGAAATAACTTATGGACGACTCAGCGATAAATGAGTTCATCTAAAATATGTAATTATAAAAGCTTTTCCGTGGGAAAAACTTCATGCTTGTAGCCAACTATCAAATGAAAATGAAGAACCACATCAACATCAAAAAAATGAAAGAGGTCGAAAGATGTAGTGCAGTATTACGACAAATACAAAGAAATATGGGTTTATGAAATTAAGATGAAGTAAAATAAAAACTATTACCTTTTTAAAATTGTTGAGATTAACTGATTTGCCAGGAGGAGCGATGATTTTCTTAATTTTGAATCCCAGTCGTTCACCTAATGAAGCAGCCCTTTCACCCCAAATTCCTATTTCAACAACCAGTAACTTTTCATTTTTTTCAAGTAAATTCATTAATGCACATTCCATACCAGCATGGCCTGAAAACTGAATAGAATTTGCTACGACTGTTTTTTAAGCTTATTATATGTAAGCTAAAAGGTCCACAGTTTAAGCATTTTATCATGGAATGACATGGAATGATAATCAAAAAACTATAAATGTACAAAAATTCAGCAACACATTCAACTGATTTATTCTAATTAGTCTTAGATATTGACAAACTTTGCTTCAACACTAAAAGTACCATCTTCCCTCTGTTTTCACTAACCGGTCGCACTAACTGCGAATGTTAATTTGTTTCTGGTTTGAAATGCATATTGTATTCCTTCTTTTACATCATCCATTATCTGAAATTTATGTTTTAAATATAAATTTCTGAGAATCCTTTGGAAATTCGACCAAGATTTTTCATCTTCCTTAATTGATGACAACGATTCACTTTATTAACTCAAAAATGGGAAAAATTTGTACAAAATATAATTTCTAAGGTTTTTGAAAAATGAACACCAATATTTTTTAAAAGCAGGAAATCTCTATAAACCTGTATGAATTCAGGATGAAGATGACCAAGCAATGGTTGTGACAAAGAGTGGACAATGTCGAGAAACATGTTGCTTGGCCCTGCTCCCATTAAAAGTCTATTAGGAATAGAAACTGGGCCGAGAAGTCTTTGTGGCTTAGCAATTGTTACGCAATTCATCTAAAATGTATGTAAATTAGCAAATTTTAACGGAATCTCGTTCAAATTAGAAAATAATGCGAGGAAATTGTTTGAAAATTGACTTTAAATTTTTCTGTTCATTTTAGAAGCAATTAATTTTTTTAATAAATAGTGATCAGAGATATAATTGATGGAATTGGATTAATATACTGTAAATTGTTTTATTGGCTTGTTTATCTAAAGTGCAATAACCAAAGAATCGATTAAGAAAGTTTTCTTTGGCCGGTCGGGGTCATTGGTCTGAAATAATGATTTAAGAAAAGACATCGCATTTCGCGACAACTGGTATGGATTAATTACAGCTGCAGTGAAACGACGAAAGGACGACGGTATTCGCTGTTGGGAAACCAATTTTTAAAGAAACTAATTTTTTAACGAACTTTTGAATTCGCAAGAAGAAGAAATCAATAATCAATAGTCAAGGATTAAGAATAAATCCCACTTTCGTTTCAATTTAGTTAAAAGGAAATGTGGCGAATGAAAAATGTGGTAAATTTGAAACCTAATTCATGTAGTTTTATTCAGATAAGATTTTTTAGATTAAATTTAACTCATTTTCTTTTCTATTTCTATAAGTTTGAGTAGCTTCATCGACTACCAGCGGCCAGAAAGACTTAGGGAGACTCATTTTCCCAGCACTACCTGGAGTTTAGAGTTTGGAAGTAACAATAATTTCGATTAATTCATATTAATCTGAATTTAAACATCCGAAACAATAGCATGCCAAATACTAAACTATGAAAATGATTTATATCAAAAAAACTTTATAAAAAAATTTTAAACTATTTCATTAATTTGTGAAGTAATGAAACAAACCGCAGCGTTGCGAATCCAGATAAAACGTCTCGTAATCCCAGTTATTCTCTTCAATTTGATCATTAATTGCAACTCTAAAAACTCTAAAAATTTAAAAACTTTCACATTTTTATCAACACGAATCCTTAAAAGTTGAGTCCATTTATCATTTCTAGTTAGGTTCCACAGACTTTTTTAGAATGGCTAAAAATTTTGCACAGTGCTTGCTAGCGTACAGATAAGATCTCAGCATTACGCTGATTTTTAAATGGCTGGTTTACATTTATAAGGCCAATAATACTCCCTGAGATGGTTTCGGGCCGAATTCTTCAAATATTATCCATCATTATCGTTCATAATTCAACTTCAACAAATATATTTTCTGGTGCGGCAATAGGAAATAATACCAGAGGAGTGCAGCAAAGCAATTCTGCTTCCATTTCCTAAGAAGAATGATAGGACGTACTGTGGCAATTACCGAGAAACTCGAATAATGACAGCTAGAAAAGCTAGAAATATGTTTTCTAGTTGACGAAACCTTTATGGAACCGTTGCAAAATTATCATAAAGACAAAAATCCGCGTCCATAAAGCTACAATTCGCTCGATCTTACTATATGGCTACGAAACATGGCCAATGAGAGTGGAAGATATTAAGAAGCTATCAACCTTTGATCACTCATGTCTAAGGCACATTTTACGGATCCATTGAGCGGATAAAATCTCACATGATTGTATCCATCTTCGCTCAAATACCACCTGTATTAATAATTATCATAATAATAATTATCATAAAGTTATCATAAAGCGTCGCCTTTTCTTGTTGGAGGATATTCTCCGTTGTACACCACACGAATTGGCGTATATTTCCCTACTTACACGAACCCTGTGATGGTTGAAAAGCGAGGAGGCCCAATCAAGACCTGGACTGATACAGTTAGAAAAGATTAGATTTTGAACGTATAGATGGACGAGCATTGTATGGACTTAGATGGAAAAAGTAATGGCTTTTATTACTGTCAACGACAGCATCAGATCATGCAGTTTGTAGTTTCCATCTTACTCTTGTATCCAGCGAACTAGCCTAATGAGTAATGGTGAGAACTGTTCGAAGAAAAAGAAGAAGGGAAAAGGACGATTGCAATAGCATTCTATGACAAAAAAATTCAGTTATTCTCAACTGAATGCAAAAAGGAATAAAGTATTGCTTGCTATTTTATCTGAATAAATTTGTCCTGGTTTGGCTGGCTCGATTGGCTATTATTATTATTCAATAATTATAAAAAATTAGTTAAATGGATAATTGGCCGATGAATTAAAATGGAGACAATGGAGGCAAAGTAAAGCCGAGTAGTATTCCTATAACCAGTGGCCCCAGTGGCAAGAATTTTTTATCGTACCAACAGCCAATGAAATATATCTAACGAATCTAATTAGAAAGGTTGATCGCTAACCATACTGAATTAAAACATTTTTTATTAAATGAAATGAAAAAGCTAACAGCAATAATCGGAATTATCAGCAAAAAATTGTGAAGCATTTTATCGATGCCTCGTGTACAAATGATAATTGTCTGATAACGGCAAAATTGATAATTCACCGCTTAAACTTATTAGATGGACCAATTTTATATTGTTTGAAAGTAAAACGAACTCATAGTCGAAGTCTATATCAGTTTTATCAATTTTAGTAAAGTATGAAGTAGGATAGCAGGAATTTAACGCTATAAATCTATAATGCTTATTGATAATATATGGATAAAATAAAATAAAATTAAAGTAGGTACTTTGCTTCTTATTTAATATAGTCAAATTTTTAAGTTGCATTTTTGCAAATGGATATTTAAGCCAATTTTAAAATGGCTTAAGTTACATAAGCATAACATACTATATATAATGTACATAATATATTTGAAAATATTTACATAAAATTTAGGCATATGCAAACCATATTCAAGATAAATTCAGCCAGAAAATGGAATAAGTTTCGTTTTCTTATTATTTGCCTTGCACTTTTTAATAAGATTGTAATGTGATTATTTGTTGTAATATATTTAGTTTAAATTTGAATTTAAATTGAAATAATTTAAATTTGAATTTGAATTGAAATAATTTAAATCTAATTTACTTTATAATGTAATAAATCTTAAATAACAAATTTGCTGGTTGTCCTTGATGAGAGGATTAAAATCTACCATTAGTAGAATCAGAGAACCAAAATAGAATCGAACAAACGGTTACCAACTGAAGCAACTGAAAAAATTAATTTGGGATCGCAGATCGAGAAACAAGTTTTACATTCGCAGTTTGCCCTATCAATAATTGTTATCAAGGGTCAAGGAGGGTTAGGAGTTTGATAAGGCAGTTTTCAAGTCGCACCAATGCGCTGGGATTATGATTTTCCATCCTGTCACTGAAGCAAGCTAAACCAAAATTGGCAGAAATCCAACCGGCTTTTCAATAGCTAAATCGAATTTTCTAAAATTCTAATAATTCTCACAGATTGAAAAAGGATTAGCACTGATTAAACGTGATGAAGTTGATCTCTAATGTGCAAACATCCATTGTACAACATATGCTTAAAAGATTTAATTTATTGTTTTCGTTTTTTTTGGCTATTTTGCATCCGATGCTTTAATATAACATGTTTTACAATTTTTTTTTTGAATTAAAGTTTTATAAAGAAACAAATGAAAAATACTATGATGATGCTAGTTAACTATCCGGATGGCGACTCACCTGTATTTCTATCGCCAATGGACACCCTGGCACATTTGTTCAGTGCGACATGCCAGTGGAGCGAGTTTAATGGTGAGGACTCTTAAAAAAAAAACTAATTAACTAAACTAGTTTAAATGCTTCTGATACCATGCAATTTGATAGTTAATCGAAGGAATATAGATAGATTATATTGAGAATGGTAGTTTTGAAAATGGTCTTTGATAAAATCCATTCTGAAAAATGAAAAGTCCATAAACTAGTATCTAATGGATCATAAGAATTGAATAAAAATTGTTAACAAAAATTTTTTAACATCGTTTCATTTCACATATAACGAATCATTACTTGGACTTGGCTTTCTGTTTTAAAATTTTGCTTAAACTCACATTTCTGAAAAATTCAAGAAAATGTAGTCATAATTCTTCAATCAATTATAGAGACAGATGTGATGTCTTTTAGGAGAAATTCAAAATAATTGAAGCAGTGAAAATTTATTAACTGATAGAAATCAGTTTTATTGGGTCTCCTTTTGCCTATAAACCTAACCAGTGTGCCAACTCATTACTCGAACTCTTTTGGCTGTCAGAATATTAATTATTCGATCTTTTTAAATAATAAAATGCTAATTAGTGGGATTCTTTTGGTCAATGCAATGCCATTACCTAGAACACCAAAAACAAAACAAAAATTAATTTGTTAAAATTAGAAATTTTTCTCAGTTTTAATTTATTAAATTTCTGAACAAAGGGATCAACTACAAATTTCAATTTTTTTTATTTATTTCTTGTATCTTAATTTAAAAGAAAATGAGATATCAAAAAAATTTTGGCATTAACATTTAAGTCTAAGAAAACAAATCATTTTAAAATTTATTCAAACAAATTATTTAAAAAGTTATTCATGGAAGATGCTGGGAACTTTTTTCTTCGCCAATAAGATGCTCGTTACTTGGACTTATTTGGCTCACACAATGCTAATTCATCATTCCATTTCATTCTTTGTTAAGTAATCCTATAAAAAAATCTTATCAATGAAATTATATTTATTTCGTGAAAACAAAATTGATTCCGCAGTTTTTACTTTCGTTATCGAAAAAATTATGACCAACTTGAACTTACTGATGCCACATGCTCCTGGTTTCCTATGATGAAGAACAAACTAGTTACATTATTAATATTACTGCTATTATTAATTTAATTAGTATAAAGATTATCACTATTGTTGTCATCATTATTAACGTTAACATTAACGTAGATAATGATGATGATATCTTCCACTAGTTGGAAATATTTTTGATATGCAATATGGTAACTCAGTAACTCACTATACTCACTATAAATGTAATATGGAATATGATAAATTTTCATTAATTTTCTAAATATGTTCTAACTCCAATTTTGGATCCAATTTTTTAAGCATTTGCAGGGAAAATCACCTGGTATCCGAAAGATTGCATTTCCGCTGCGAATAAACAATCCATGATCTTTTTTTCTGTCAGCAGTCCAAGAAGTCGATTTCGGCATGATATTGAACGGATTTTTTTCTCTATATTTTGACCTGAAATGAATCTTTAATAGTTTCTTTATAAATGAGCCGATTCAATGAAAAAGGTTACTATCTAATTTTAGTGAATATAATCCCAGTTCGAATATTCACTCAAGATAAATGCTGGAAAACAATAATTTCAATTAGAAGAGATCAAACCGAGTAAAGTGAATTCATCGTCATCATATTGATGATCGTTATTCGTACGAACTTTTTGCAGGATTGCTGGCCGATAAAAATTTGAATTTGATTGTTTTCGATTTCGATAATGCAACGAATTTACTTTTAACTGTTCGGCTGTAAAAATTAGATTTAAATTTATTCTATTCTGTATAATTTTGTTTTTTTTCTATTGCCTACTCTCTATTTCTATTGACTATCTGGCAAGAATTTCCAATCGTATCAATTGTCAACCTAACCAGACGTACTTAGTGCTAACCATTTACTTACGCTTGCACTTAAAGTTATCAATATCCAGATTCTACACACAGAAATGACCCGAGAAAATTCAAGTGATGATCAAAAAACAAAAAAAGTTGATCCATCATATCTAAGAGAAATAGCACAGTTTGTTAATTTTTAGCAGCCACAGAAATCTCATAAAGTGAATGGTTCGATAATCTACATATCAGTTTGGGAATCTTCGTCGAAATCCCAAATGACCGAAATCCTGAAATCACAATTCAAGAACAAAATGAAAAACTGATGAATTTAAAATGATTTTTGCATCAGATGGATTAAAATGGCTGATTTCCAATCAATGAATTGCATAACATATTTTAGTGACATTTAAAAAGACTCACTGGAGGAAAATTGAGAAAATTCTAAAAAATTCCAAGGAAACGTGAGATTTCCGCAGAAGGAAAAACGAAATGAAATGAAAAAGGCTTTAAAGAAATAATAAACTAAATTGTGAGCCAATAAATTCCATCACCTTGTGATGGCTTCTTCTACTTGTAACTACATTTTTAAGCTTTTCGCCACGTTCAATTATTTTTTTTGCATTTTTTAAGGTAAAACCCCTAAAGACCAATTTTCATTTGGTTCTTAAAAATTAATATAATATATTTTTTTTCCATATTTATAAGCTTTTACTCTCTTTCAGGATTTTGACCATTCGGGATCTTGAGTAGAAGCATTTGATTTGAAATCAGTGTATCCATGTCCTGAAGAAGACTAAGTCATATACTAATATACAGCGAGCCTTAAACAAATGAAAGCCTATATTCAAGGCGGTTGCGGTTCTGCCACACTTAAGATTTTGCTTTTGCTGGAATAGATAACATAGATATTGATACTGATTTTGAAGGCTACATATTAATCTAAATAACATCGCAGATATCTCGATATCTGATTATTGTAATTTATACCAACTGGACGGGATGGGACAGCGTGAGTGTATATGATTTTGCCATCGATTTCTTCGCATCCTTTTGATGGGAATAAAGAGTGAAATTTGTATGGCTCCCATTTGTATCTCCGTCCTCAAGTGATTCGTCGAGTGATTATCATCTTAACAGTTAATCAAATCAGCCAAACAAAAGTCATTTATGATTAAATTACCTGCAGATTCGTTAAATATATAGCTAACTGCATTATGTTTCTCTCCTCCATTTGTCAGTCGTCCGTTGTCACGCATTTCACGCAAATTTGATGACGAACAATTAGATGCTAAATAAGTGAGTGCAGGCTGATTCGATGGTGCGTTGTGTTGCCCATTGATAGTATCAGATGAAAATTCGGATAAAGAAGATATTTGGTTCGATGCCGTTGTAGAACAAGTTCCACTTGTAGTTGACTGATTACTGCCTTCAGCTGCTGACATTATATCAACTGTCATTTGTTGATGTGATGACACCGCGTCTTTTTTATTCAACACATTGATCGAGTTTCGAGAAGGTTTGTCCAAAAAAGTGTTGAATGTTGTACTTTGTGTTGTGAGTGGTAAATTACTAGCAGCGACCGATGATGGTTCCGTTTCACTGGCTACTTCTGATTCTTCATCCCAAGCCATTGGTGTATACATTTCATCTGGAAAATTAAAAAATGGCTAAAAAAATACCCGCACAATATATTAAATAATTTATGGCATACTGGAGTAAAAAAATCATATGAATATGCAAATTTCAAGAAATATTAATATAAAAGATAATTTACTCGAAATTTCAATCTCTAAATTTTATTTCGACACTTCGTATGAAAATGAAAAATATAAAAAAATTTGGATTTAATGAGAAAAGGTTTAATTTACTAATCCTATTAATTCATTCGTCCATTTATCGAATCGTTCCCAGAATAATTGATAATTCTATTGCAAAAAAACTTGACTGGAGATCGTATTAACTGTCGTTTCATGGATAAGATCCAACAAATTTTTCGAAATCTTTAAGGAGTTAGAGGTCGTTGATGGATTAGCATCCTTGAAGTAAATGACAAGTGGTTATATTAAGGATTTTTTCCACCAAATTTTTTGCAAGGTAAATATTCTAACTGGCACTTTTTGCAATGAAAGAGCTATAATAGATATCCACTTTCGCCGCCATTTTCAATGTTTTTAAAAGGAATCGTTGAAAATCGTATTGAAACAAATTTTTCGCTATAAGAATTCGTTCTGCTACGGTACAACAGCGATTTTTTGATCAAAACTCGAAAATCAATTATTTATAAATGATAAGTGGAAAGAGAAGAAAGATAAAAATAAGCTGATAAAAAAACAGAGAAATAATAAGGACAATGAAGTGATAACAAAAACTGATTAATCTATTCTTGGAATTTTATTACATATCATTTTCATAAACCATTATTTTAATAGGATTCACACAATGAAAGAACGGTCGATTGTTCAAATTAAAAGCATTTTAGGGGTAGAAATGCGCTGAAATACTGCATTTCAGCGGCATGCTGTGCCATCTAATAGTATGTATTTTAATTCTTATGAAGAGTTGGCCAATAAGTAAAAAAATTATTCGTTTAAATCACTTTTTAATTTGAAATTTAAACGAAAATAACAGTCTGAAAATGGAGAAAGTGCCACCTTCTTCAATAACTTTCTTTTATTTAGTGATCTATGGAAAAAGACAAAATTTTTTAATAATTAGAGGAGTTCAACTTTCTTTTTCCCAATTTAATAGCTTTTTAGCGCCATTCTGAAAAAGAATTAAGATTGGAGAAAAAATATAGGACTAGAAAAGGAAAGAAGATGATTTTCGAAATTTAAAATTGGAGATTTTTAGTATTAGAAATAATTTAGTAAAAGAAATTTAGCATAAAAAATTAGAGATTTTTAACATTTCGCAAAACACCTTATTGAATCTTACGAAATTAATGAATTTTAGCTGAAAATTTAATTAATGGAGATATTTAAAAAAATTGGTTAGCTATTTTTGGCGAGAAGTAAAAACCTGCCACTAAAAATCCGAGTTGTTTAGCGAGCCACTTGTGCTACTTCTCTATAGCCAAGTGACTCTCTGGCAAAAATTTCTAACTGGCTAACTACTGGCTAACCAGAAGTGCTAAGCACTAACTATTTTTTTCTTTTTGAAAAATGCGATCAAGCGGTAAAGATTCGACCACAAATATCATTTTAAAAAATAATTTCTTCTTTTGGAATTATTTATTCAGTATTTAATTTGATTTTAAAAATTTTCATTAATGAATATTTAGTCGGAATGGATTGGGTTTCCTCCATATTCGTCACCACAAAACTATTGCTTTCTTTCCCACAATCATAATTATTCACCAGTGATAATCGGATAGTTTACAGTAACTTTGAACGGCGTTCGATTGATTATTCATTATTGTATTACAATTGATTTTGCCGAGTTTTTTTTGATAAAAGCTCACTAAAAAATCGTAATTACCGCAAATCTTTTTCTAATCCCAATTTTGTCCTTTCAAATATTATCAAATATTATCTATTACTTAATGTTATCAATTATGCGAAATCGATCGCGTCCAAAATTACCACAAAAGAAGTTTACAAATTGCATAGAAATATTGTGGGACATTGTGATTTTTCACTGATTGCTACAAAACGCAAAATGCAGATTTGTTGCGAATATGATTATTAGCGTCAACTTTTCGTTAATCGGTCGTTACAAATCGAAATATGCGATAGGGAATTGGGTTCTGCTAAAAGCATACATTTAATGTCGAATTACGACAATGTTGTAGTATCCCCATAATTTTAAATCAGTGCTTACAAATCAAGATATTTTCTATTTATTTGTATAGGAAAGACCGTAAGAAAGGCAAAGCAACAGCTATGCGCTTGTATCAATAACAACGCCATAAAAAGCGCAAAAAATAATTCGAGTGCTAAATAATTGCTAAATAATAGCGTGTTAATGCTTCTTATTGGGCTCGCTCCACTGACCGCTGGTACGATAAGAAAAGGAAAAGTAGGAGTTGTTAGAGCAAAAAATTGTGTGCGATCTGCCTTTTGGAGTCTTTTTCGACTGGAGTGCTCGTTAAGCATCACAGTGACGGCTTCTTCCTACAAATTGAATTGTTATAGACAAAGATGTTACGGCGGCATGCGAAATACCGAGTAACTCAACTAATTTCTGTCCTAGAAGAAAATCCTTTTCTCTTGCAACCAACTCTCAGTAATCATTGCTATTGCTTTATTGTTCATAATGCGGTGAAAATTGGAAGTGATGCTGGTACACACATACCCTATTGCTAAATGATTCCCTCTCTGATCCAACAGGATGGATTCAACCAGAAATGGCTCTTAGAAAAAAAATGTGCTGAATTAACTAGCTATCATCATAAGATGAATGAAGGAAGAGCAAAAAGCACCAGCAGTATATTTTTCTGAAAATATATTAATTACATTTTTCAATGGGAATTTAAAAAAATATTTTCTTCGATGTTATCTTTTAAAGCACCAAAATATCACACAGCGAGTTAAAACGTTCGAAACAAAGCTTTACCTTCCATTTCTTCTTGGTCCAATCCGAACTTCAATTTTCTCTTCCAATTTAAGAATTTTAGATCTAAACGAATGGAAATATTCACCAATATTTATTCAGCAAACTAAATTCACCTCGTTAAAATAAGCCGACATTTTAAACAACGTTACATTAACGTTAAATTAATCATTTAATTTTCATTTATATTAATACCTCTCAGAATTCAAAAAAGTTAAATATTAAATATATTAAATGCCATTGTAAATCTTTTTGCATTGAAATTTCTAAAATAGATTGAAATTTCTGTAAAAAAACTTCGAAATCATAAAACTTCTCCTAAATTCTCAGTCGAAAATCCCTCTGCAGTTCTGAAATTTATTGGGATCGCTCACATCTGCTGCATTTATTTGGCTGGGATTTTAAGAGCTTAAGAGAACTACTGATTATATTTGTAAACTAGTAATTGAATTTTTTTGAGTTTCTTTACTCATAACAATAATTCATTACAAAAATTGAATGTCTTATACATCTTAATTTTGCGGGTGGTGACGAACTGTATTTCAACCTTTAAATGGAAGTATTTAAATATACTGATGGGGGTGCTACCAAGCCTCTAATCCCCACTATCCTTCCGAAAACATTCAGCTAGCGAGCACGTAAAGTGCAAACTTATTACGAGTGGATGCTTCTTACTTTTTACTTTTCTCTTTAATTTGGAAACTGGTGAATATTAACTGGCAAATAAAACATAGGACTCTATAAGAAATTATAAGAAAAATTTCAGAATGCACAAAACTGAGGTTAGGGGATGCAAAATAATCATTCAAAAATTAGATTATAAAGAAAACCTTATCGTTTTGTTTCTGCATAATTTTAATCGGATTAATAGATTAAACAATTTATATATTTTATTCTGAAATATAATACAATATTAAAGAAGCTAAAATACTAAAAAAAAACTCTAAATAACAATATAAACAAGAGAAAAACAAACAATAAATAAACGAATCGATTAGCGTTCAGCATTATGCTCGCATCATTGGCTGCCAGTACGATGAGAAATTTTTGCCAGAGTCACTTGAGGATGTGAAAATCGCAGGATTCATTCAGGATTCATTAAAGATACGCTTATTCCTGTTGAAGGATTCGAACCCTGACGTCATATTCTAAGATTTGCCACTCGATTATCGTTTTTATGATACTAAAAGAATATATAAACCCTGACAGGTATAAATCTGCTTTTAAAAGTAAAATCTGGATGTTGTTAAAAATCCTCCTACATTTCTGTGACTCTAAGGTCTCAGTTGGATCCCCCCAATATTTTTTGCCTAATTCAAATTCCATCATATCTTTTTAACAACTTTTTTTTACTTGAAATCCTAATTGCAGTTTTTCTCTCATATCTTTACCCATGTTGCCACAAATCCTAAAGATGTATCGTAACCTTAATAATTTACAATCTTTTACACTCTTCCATAAAAAATTCTCTTAATTATCCTAACAAACAGCACCATATTCTCTTGTTAAAACCAGATGTAATCTCGAACCGTCAAGTTACCCTAAGATTCTCTCTAAAATAATGTCAAAGCCTGTTGCGTCCCTTTATTCAGCCTATTATTAGCTAAAATCGTTGTAATACGTGCGATATCTCGACCTGCTTTAATGCTAAATTATGTTATAAATATGCATGAATGAAAAAAATCAAACTCTTTAATATCCATTAAAACCTATATTTTTAATAATATTTTCTGTAATAATATTTTATATTGGGAAATCTTCCAAAATCCATTCCTTAACACCTTGAAGGCCACTGTTTTTAATCTAATCTAATATCATCCTAAGCCCTTTTCACCACACAACTTCCTTAGACTCAGTAATCTCTAAAAATTACTCGCAATCATTTTATTGCCCCAACTCTTTAAGCTCTAGAATATGAAATTGCTAAGATGGAGTGAGTGGGGGAGATATTACTGAAGTATTCTTAGTAATACTTGAGAATGCGGAAGGAGGAATTAGAGGGTTTAAAAACGGTTGACATATAATGAGAAAAAATATGAAAAGGTTAAAGAAAATTATGCCCGTAAGAAGAGTGCAATTTATAAATAACATGATATGGCAAATCTTAAAGCATTTAAGATTGAAAAACAGTAAGTACATAAATACAAAATTCTAGAGATTTAACTTGACTATTCACTATTGCTATAATCCAAAGTTCAAATTTAAAAATACCGTAAAAGTTTGGTCTAATACCAATGATAATATTAACATTCCTAATAACATTCTGATAAAATTGAAAGCCATGAAAATTTAAAAGATAATATGCTAAACTTTTTCATTGATCATTTTTGCCCACTGAAATTCGGACGATTCCTCATCGCTAAACGATTCTGAAATATAAGGATTCGAAAAATAACTGATAAAAAAACAATTATGAATGAAATAGAAGAGGAAAGCCGAGTGACCAAGTAATGCTTCGACCATACGATGGAGCATAATCGATTCTTATCTTTTGCCAGTAGTAAACCTTGTTATAATAATAATATGATAGTATTAAAGGTGGAATCCCAGAGAAGCTTGAGAGTCAGAGACCTATGACTTCTTTCTATTCGCAACTCATTTGCAAATTACATGATTTTATGTTTATAGTCATCGAAGATAGCCAAACCAGAAATGGTGAAATTTTGTAAGAATTACTATTAAAATACGATAAAAACATAATTTGAATTAAATTTGCCTCATGTTCTAGTAACTCAAATTCAGCTTCAAAGAGGCAATCCATTATTTTCTTTTGAGCAATTAGATATAGGCGACGATTACGACACGCTATCAAACCAAGCTTCTTTTCCACAGTTCGACCTCAAAGTATTGTTAAATTAAAAATTATTTGTAATTATTTGATCGCTTCACTGGTATAATATACAAATACACATTAATCAGAAAGAATTTATACATTTACAGAATCTCGCGACACGACGATTTCTTTCGTTATCCCCCACTCTTGCTACTGAAGTCAAGTTAAAATGCAACAAATTAAGTTATAAACTAACGTTCTCTTAGTTTCTCACAAGGATCATATTAAAATAAACCACATACTACTCACCAAAATCAGAACATCACCATAGCTCCCCTCACAGTACCAAAAAGAAAGATAAAACTGAAGTAATAATTCTAGATATCGACAATACATGTGTTAATACATGTATCAATACATGTGTCAACACAATACAATTCGTATAACATTTGTTTACATAGTAAATTCCTTGATCACATCTTGATGAAAGTTTTTATTCAAAAATATTGCCCTCACGATTAAAGCTTCGAAGAAACTCGATCACTTATGATTTATGGTTAGATTTATGGTTATGGTTAAATTTATAGTTAGTTTTTAATTCCCAGGCAAAAAGATCCCAAAGAGCTAAATAAACTTACTAAAGGTAATGAACTCATCGTAATCATCAAGCTGATTCTCTTCAGAAAACCTTGACCTTTTATCAACTCCATGATATAACGAATTCTGAGTCAAACGTTTCCGACCTGTCATATATTGGTTTTCCACTTTAATCTCACCTAAAATTTTTGATGGCCAAGGACATAAACAAATAATAAAGAAAAAAATTCTATAAATATGATAAAAAACTCACCTGTGGATATCGTTGGTACAGATGATCGATCAACCAGTTGCTTATCGTTTCGATTTTCAATAGAAGAATCACTTGGCGCAGGAGAATCATGTTCCCGCCCGGCCAGCATACTACCCAAGATCTCATTAGCCCCACCATTACTATATTCTTCGGCATGTCCATGGACATAAATTTCTTGAGCGACAGTAGGTGAACATGTTACAGTGATATTTTTTACCGATGAATTAAAAGATGGATGTACGGAAGTGACTTCGCTTGATGCTGCTGAAAATGTCACTATTGTATCATTTTCACGTTTTGCTGACCTTCCGTTATAAGTTATCGAATCACCAATTTCGTTATCAAACATTGAGGCACTTGGAGTAGAAAATGGACGATCACTGGGATAAGATAAATGTTGTGCTGTTTCAGATGCCTCATCCCACACCAATGAACTGTATACGGTTCTATAAATTATATGATTATGTAAAAGAATAAAAAAATAATTTTCCGGGGGAAAAATGAACAAATTGCTTAAAAAACTTTTAAATTTTTTATTGACAAAATCATAAAATTAAAAAAAGAAAAAGCTTACAGAGGATCGGTGATATCAGCACTATCAGAGGTATCGGTAAACTTAAGCATTTGCAGGAATCGCCACGGCTTCATATGACCATTTGCATTTTCCAATTTTTTTTTCGCTCGCCTGTACTGATCGCGAAGTGATTGCCACTGTCGATTCAAATGACCAACTTAAAAAAGTAAATTCATCTTGACTAGCCTATTTTTTGAAAAATATGCAAAATAGCAAGAGCAAAAAAGTTCTAAACAAAAAAATATTTGAAGCTTTTTTGGGGAAAAAACTCCCAATCCGGAAAATTGCAAACTTAAATTGCTCACTTCCAATACAAACACCAAATGTTTCCGACATCTCTTTAGCCATATCACATAAAATCTGCCGTTTTTTTGCGATATTTCGATAATCAACATCGATTATATTCCACAAGCATTCATTTTTTTGAAAATTTTTAATGAGAGTTTCACGCATCGGATCTGTCCAAGAAAGAATATCGAAAGTCATCGTATTTTTGAATTTGGTGCAAAATTTGACTCATCCACCTGACGCGGTTCAATTTCTATAATGAAGCAATTCTTTGCATCAGGAAAATCATAAAACAGAAAAACTTTTCATTTACGTGGGCAGCATCAAAAAGGGGTCCTAAGTCCTCTTCTTTTCTTGAGTTTTTCTTTTATGTTCCTGTTGTTCCTTCAATCGCAATTTCCTTATAATGATACTAACAACACATCGGTGCTAAGTGGCAAGATAAATTTCACCGAGAACCATGCTTGGGTTCGAATCTGCCGATGCACCACTGTCGGCCGGCAATGTCGCCTAAACGGAGAAAAATGAGGGAGAGCAAAATGGCTTAGTGGGTTGTTGCTCAATTCACAGCTGCGATGCTGAGGTCTGCAAGATAAACCTGTCCAGAAATCCGGGTGATGGTGGCGATTCACCTATATTTCTATGGCCAAGGGACTTTCTGGTATATTTGCCCAATGTGATAAGCCAGTAGAGCTAGTTTAATCAGTAATGGTGAGGACTCTTGAAAAAAAAAATGGTGAGTAAACATATCTACATTAGATGATAATTTAGTGGAGTTTTCTAAAACTTACTAAACTCCTCTTTTAACCACAACTTTGACCTTATCACACCCAACTGCAGCTCTTTGATCGCATCCACTCCTACTATTTTCTCTCGTCCGTTCATGTACAAGTCCTAATTACAATCATCAGTTATGAAAAATGAAACGATAACATAAAATGGAATAGAATTATTGTGGGACTATAAAAAAAATTGTTGGAGAACTAGAGAATAAGAAAGAACTGTGGGGAGATTCGTTAACATGTAATCAACAAAGCGATATGAAATAGAATTCATAACGAATAATGAGAAAATAAAAACGAGAATATAATTTGCTCACGAGCCAGGATAACTACTCGGAAAACGTCTCTGTTAGTTGTAGCAGCGTGCTCATGGATGTTGCAAGCCAAGAGACCACTGTCCACATTCTGTTTAAATATCTTGTGAATGTCAGCGGAAAATTCTACAATGTCTCGGTCATCAGTGTTTATGCTCCAACTTTATGCGGAGCTTCAACTATTAATAACATCTTTACAGAGAGGAAACATGGTCATAATTGAGAGAGACTGGAACAAGCGCATAGGTCATGGTGCCGTTACGATGAATTTGATAATTGGTAAATATGGCATCTGGATACAGTGAGCCAATGGAAAACGCCTTCTTCATTTTGTCGAACAGCATGAGCTCTTTGTTACTAATAAATGGGCATTGGAGAGATACAGTGAGCCAATGGAAAACGCCTTCTTCGTTTTGTCGCCCAGCATGAGCTCTTTGCTACTAATAAATGGGCATTGGAGAAAACATCTAGAAAACATCTAGTTCCTCGGATATCCTAGCCAGATTGATTATATTTTAATCAGTTGCTACTGGAAGAGTTCCATACTAGATAGTCGTTCCTGTCGGGATGTTGAAACTGGTAGTCTTCATGGATCAAAGCAAATTCGAAAGAAAAATCTTCCCACAGAGTCTTCCAACTATTTCAAAGGATTCAGGGACAGTGAATGTATTTCAAATCGAATTATTGAAGCTTCTAATGAAATGAACATCTAGAACGGCAGATGAATAATGGTTCCAAATAAAGGAATGAAAGTCAACCATTGCTATACTAGGATATATTAGAATGAAATGCGCTAGTTCGGTATTGGAAATAACTGTCCAGCTGTCTGAAAAGGCTGCCAAGGCACGAATCTTCAGGAGATCTTGAATATCGGATGCTTTGAAGAATTACAACAACTGCAGCACGTGGAGAAGAAATCGCTATTGGAGCGATATGGTCTTGCGAATGGAGATGGCCGCTCGATTGGGCGATAATAGGATATTATACTGTCTTCACAAAGAACGGTCAGTGAAATGATAGGGGATAATAATGGTGTGCCTGTTAAAGCTATTAAAGATCGCCTTATAAGGAATGAATTCATCAAGGTCAAGCTTAACCACGAGGCCATCTGTTGTACCGGATATATGCGAATCGGTCGTCGAGCCATATGCTTACGAATCGCCAGGAGAATAGAAAATAAGATATCCAGGAAGCCGATAAAATTCTTGGAGATGGCCTTCGAGCTGAAATGTTGGTCATCATCCCTCATATTTTCAACAAATGTATTCTCTGGTATGGAGAAAAGAAAATAATACCAGATGACTGCAGCAAAGCAATTCTGCTCGCAATTATTAAGAAATGTGACAGAAAATATATAACAATTATCAAGGAATCAGCCCACAGCCCACTGGAGAAATTTTTGTTTCCCTTTTAGTCAACAGACTTATAGCAGCACGAAAGAGCAGGATACTAATCAAGCTGAATTCAGACCGGGTTGTGATTGTGCTGACCAGATATTCACGTTACGAAGGGTGTTGGAACATTATTATCTGTAACCCACCGTTTTTAACCGACTTTGTAGCTGCATTCAATTAATTGATAGAACGGCACTTTGAAGGCTGCTAAAATGTGACGGCTTTCCAAAGAAGATCATTCAACTCATAAAGATATTTTTATCAGCATACATCGGCACATTTCTGTGTATATAGGGAACTGACAGACTCTTTCGAAATAAGAATTAGAGTCCGCCAAGGATGCGTCCTTTCTCCTACATCCCTCATCAATGTAAATAAAACGAAAGCCCTTTTCGTTTTATTTACAAGAAGATGATAAAATACCTATTTTTACCAATTCACTGCAGACTGAGAAAGTGATCAAATCCGATTTGATCCCAAATGGTCAGGCAAAGGATGAAATCGCAACTCGAATAACGACAGCTAGAAATGTATTTTTCCAGTTGACGAAACTTTTATGAAACCATCACCGTAAAAATGAAAGCCTGCATCTATAGTTGCGATTAGCTCAATCTTGCTACAAAACTTGGCTGAAGAGACTGCAGAATATGAAGAAGTTATCTTCCTTTGACTACTTTACTCTCATCTAAAATGCATTTTACGTTCACCAAGCAGATAAAACTTTACATGACTGCATATATCTTCGCTCAAATACCACTGCATTAACAGTACCATTACATAACGTCGTCGATACCCACCCATCACAGGAGCTGACACGTATTTCACTACTTGCTACATGGATGGAGAGGGTTAAAAGTGACGGGAGCCAATTAAGATCTGGACTAACAGGAGTATAGGTAGACCAGAAATAAGGGCTTACAGTAAGGTAAAAGAAGTGGCATCTATTACTGCCGACGGCGACATTAGACCATGCAGCTTGGAAACGTCTAATCCTTGTAACCAGTGCAGCCAGCCTAACCAGTAATGGTGAGAGCTATTGGAAGAAGAATCTCGAATTGCGAAAAATATTTTTTTCTCCCCGAATGTGACCATAAATGGACAGAATTTTGTCATAAAGAATGATACAGTTGCGTACAGCAGTTCAAGGGCGAACTCGTGAAACTCTTAGAGCAAAATTCCCTGTCCCAGGTTAGAAACCATATATGTATATATGTATATATTCAATTTGTTTTTGTTTCTGTCCATGTTATGCAGATATCATTTGATTTTTAAAAATGATTTCTAATGGAAAGTATTGAAGAAAATGTTTCATAGGTATTTCTAATCCGATGAAACAAAGGATTATTTCCCTCTGCAAATCGAACGGCATCGTTCACCTTTAAAAAAGTGTGCTGCTTGTCACTTACAATTTGAAAAAAAGTGTAACTGTAAACTGTAAAAAAACTGAACAAGCAATTAATAAACGTTTTCACAGAATAATAAACTGCATTCAAAGGAAAATTATCAAACAACGGAAACTATTTTTCGATATTATATTATTCCGATGTTATTCTTAATATTAATTTTAAATCAATTATAATAAAAATAAAATTAAAAAACAGATACTTTTTACAAGTTTTTTTATGAAAGTGAATTTCGTGGAAGTGAAGAAAGTTCGATTCACCGACGAAGGGAAGCCAGCATTAAGTGTTTGCGTGGTTAGCACGCAACATTTCGCTTGTGCGGCCACCACCCAAGATTTTGCTTTAAGCTTAGTTGGCTCTTATAAAAAGGGCTACGAAGAAATCAGTTCCTCTGAGTAGAGATTTACATACATACTTCAAAATTAACAAACGAGAATAATTCACAAAATTAGCGATTCCTTGTCCTCAAATAAGTAGTAAACGAATCGTCCAACAAGCAATAACCGATGATAATAAACGATATTGATCAGAGATATACGCACATACACATTCAACATCGATACATGTACAAAGGATAGGTTGCACGACAACATTCACAGCACGGCACCGACATGCTCTCGCATATTCTCCTCCGCAATAGATTTTCTTATTTTCTCTTCTCGTCTACATGCAATAGTTGCATCTCTCTGCAATCTCGACCCAACATACATATCATACACATTTGTTTGTCAGTGCGTGTGTTGTTGAAAATTGTCCAGTGAAAGAGAAAATTTAATGAATTCCAACGGGAACAACGCAACGCAGACAGCGGGGAATTGTTACGAAACACTTGCAACACAGGTCGAATAAGGTTCAACACGGCCAATAAGCCATTTCTTTACCGCTTTTTTCAAGGATAATTTTTATGTTGAAAAATGGATTAAACAGAAAATAATAAAATGTAAAATATTTAATAAATTATGAGGAAAAAGTACCGAATTGCTGAAATTAGTTAAAACAGCTGAGAATGATGAAATAATAATTTCGAATGAACCAATTAGTATCTGATTAAAATGATAGCTTGGATGAATTTAAAAAGCTCAAGAAACTAACTGAACTAATTAAAGGAGGCACCTGAAGACAAATGAAGAGAAAGCAGATGAACTGCATATTGTAGCTACAACAGCAGTTTGTCGATTGAAGTGGTTTGCAACGAAGTGGCTAATAGGATACAGCAAAATGGCAGATAGGATCTAAAGGCCTGGATTACTGCAAAATTTCGAATCACTAGGAAAACAACTCAAAGGCGGAGCATCCCGTCTGAGA